TCTGATATGCTCAATATAATAATTTGTTTCAGTTAATTTTATTTTGCGGAACTGTTTGTGGTTGATTACTGCATCGAGTTAAGAATAGTGAGGCGTATAATTGGCTGGCTTATGCAAAGATTAATTTCAAGCAGCACTCATGCTCCAATAAAAAAGTTTCAGACTTTTACGATATATCAAGACCATCAACCACAGTGTTAATTAAAGTATGATTACTTACACTATGAGAATATTTTGCTAGGCCAAATACATCCACAGCCCCTTAAACTTGTTCACTCTTTCACTTAGACACTTTATTTTAAATCCGTTTCATTTGGACACTCCAAAGACAGCTCAAATGTGTCATTTGAACACAACATTATTAGGCAACCAAAAACAAAAGGAGCGTGTAATTCACACGCCAGATATACGAATAAGACAAAGACACGTGTATTTTACCTTAACCCCACCTGTCTGTCATCTTCCCCAATGACCCCTGGCTATTTTTTTTCCCTTCAAAATGCAGCAGCAAACGACTAATAAAATCATTGGCAAACAATGCAATAGTTGAGGATAGTGAAATCAAACCCATTCTAAATGTACCAAAGATGGGACTCAATCACAAAAATCAACGAACACAAGCATGGAGGTTGTGAGAAAAACGAAAATCCTACCAAATCACAAAGTTGCTGGAAATAAAATTCCAACCGAATTAAAAGATGGTGGACTTTCACCATATGTTTTTAGATCTATAACGTGTAGACAAAAAGAAAAAGAAAAAACGAGGAGAAGAAGACACCAATGCAAAAGGGTCGCCAAAAACTTGTTATTTCCGGTTAGATCCGCTCGAATCTAGCCGGATCTGATTCAAGTCACATTTAACTATTGAGAAAAAATTGAACTTCGTCGAAAAGAATAAAATTTCGCCGGACGAGTGAAAATGAGAGAGCTTTGTCACATTTATTGTTCGTGCCATCCCATGGTGAAAGATAATGGAGAAGATGAAGTAGGCATGTAGAGATGTTGCTACTTTTATGGCCAGAATTGCAGCGGCCAACCATATCTTCAAAATGAGAGGAAAATGGAAACTTTTTGATGGTGGCGAGATTTAAAGGTGGTGATGGTTTGCCCAGATCTAAAGAGGATACAATTATTTTGGTGTGAACAAATCCTTAAAAAATTGGGATAAGAAGATGGTTGGAAAATTTTCCGGCAGAAGTTATACATTTTCCGACAAGAAGTATGTGGAGTTTGTTTTTTGGAATGATTTCACGCGCTTGGAAAATGTGAGAAACAGTTACCTTGCCATGTCAGTATTTTGTGTTCAAATGAGTAAATGACACATTTGAGCTGTGCTGGGAGTGTTCAAATGGAATTGACTTAAGATAGAATGCCTAAGTGAAAAGGGCGGACAACTTTAATGGGCTATCAATGTATTTGGCATTTGTACTATTTATACAGCATGTCCCTTTATAATTTATAATTCAAGAAAATGACATCTCTTATGTATAAAAAACATCTCTTCCGTGTAAAAGTAAATTCCCTATGTATTAAAAAAAGAGGTAGGGTCATTGAACTAAAAACAAGTTTGTAAAGAGCCACAAAACGAATATTTTTCTGTTGTTTTTTATTTTGTGGATCTCAGAAGTTACCTAATAATTTTAGGTGTTGGCTAAAAGAAGCATTCTAAGGAACTAACACGAGTTTAGAACTGTCTGGAGTTTCTTATGATCTGTGCTAAGCTAATTTATCCAAATAGCTTAATGATCTCAGAAATAAAAACTTTTCAACATAATAACTTGACACGATCGTATTTTTCGTTTGTGCTTGCAATAGGGGAAAATGTAAAGAAACGGAATTTACAAGACAGATATAAAATTGTACATGAATATTACACGTAACAATATAAGAAGCAGCAAGAAATCAAAATCTTTCTGAAAGATGAAGAGGGAAGCGTCAGAATTGGCACACGAAGATAGAGACGATGTTACAATTTATGGAGAGTGAAAGTAATGTGATTTGGAGTTTTATATTAAGGCACGAAGAACTGAGAGGAAGAACAATTGAAAAAGAAATAATACTACTTGGTAGAAAAAAAATAATACTACTTGGTAGAAAAACAAATAATAATAAGAAAGAATAATGAAAAAGATTCTAAAAGAAAAAATAATACTTTTTGGTAGAAAATAATAATAATAATAATAATAATAATAATAATAATAATAATAATAATAATAATAATAATAATAAGAAACGGTATTGGACAGAGTGAGCAACTTGCGTTGCCATTTATTTGTTTTTTTGATTGCCTCTTTCTGATTGTAGTTTCATCCCATTTTAATTACTTTCTGATCTTTTCTTTTCATTTCATGTTTTGATTTAATTGACGAGAAGAAATTCTTTATTTAAAAAGCTTTACTAAAGTAATACATAAAAGTTCAAGTTCAAGTAGATATAAACATGTACCATCTAATATATAATATGACAAACAGTGGCGGATCCACCCTTTAAGGTGGGGGTGGTATAGCACCCGCTGTGTTGGTAAAATTATTATATATTTATGTAGAAATTTTCTTAAACTAGGTTAAATATTTGATCCCGCCACCCCCAGTTGCAGACTAAATAAAGGTGTCATGGTTGGTAGACCTTTTGGAAAGCTTTTCTCAGGTGTAAAATTCAAATTTGAATTTATCTTGACCTTATCTGACTTTCCCTTTTCGTGTGCTTTTTATTTCCTTTGTCCCAATCATTTTTCTTGTTGGCTACCTCATAATTTCCTATTTTTCGTTCATTATCTTTTTTATATTTTTTCTCTGTATTCTATTATTTTATCTGTGATTTTTAACAAGAACACTAAAAAAAGAGCCTCCAAAATTTAAAATTTCATAAAATAAGCATTTCTCTTATTCTCAAATCATTTAATCTTTTCCTTGATGTCTGATGTAATTTTCACATAACAACAAAATATCCTGTGAAATGTCATAAGTAGCATAGGAGAAAGAAATATAATTTTCATATTTGCAAATAAAAAGTTTCTAATAAATTGCCCGAATAAACTAACAAAAATGAATCGAACAAGCATTCTGAACAAGCTATATATTAATTATTAAATAGTCTACATTAAAGAAAATTATGGTGGCACCCGTCACCTTCAAATACTAGATCCGCCTCTGATGAAAAAGAGAATCAGGCATACATACAACACGTGTCATGTGTGTATATGTGTGTGAAAAGTTTCCTTATTCTTTATTTAAAGAAAAATTGATAATATGAGGTTCATCTAAGCTCTTATTCTAAGCAAAAAATCGTGTTTGTGATTTCAACCATATATAAATTACTCGCTCTGTTTCAATTTAGATGAGTTACTTTGACTCGACACAAAGTTTAAGAAAAAAAAGACTTTTGAATCTTATGGTCTTAAAAGTTTGAGAGTAAAAGTTTTGTGGGGCCATGATATTTGTGTGTTTATAAAACTTCTCACTAAGGATAAAATTGGTAAAATGAAAAGTTTTTAAAGCAGAATTATTTCTTATTATAAAAATATGTCATTCTTTTTTAAACAAACTAATAAGGAAAATGTGTCATCTAAATTGAAACGGAAGCAGTACTTTTATATACACACACATGATAAATATTATTACTCATTCTGTTCCAATTTATGTGAATCTGTTTTACTGCGAATAAAGTTTAAGAAAAATGAAGACTTTTGGAATTTGTGGTCTAAACAAGTTAAAAAGGGAGCAGAGTATTTTTGTGTTTATAAAAGTTTCTCATTAAGGGTAAACTTATAAGTTTAAGCCAAATTGTTTTCAAATTTAGAAATGGGTCATTCTTTTTGGAACGGGCCAAAAAGAAAATAGGTTCACATAAACTGGAACGAAGGGAGTATAATTTTTCTTTTACGACTGAAAATTATTTATTGATGTCTTTGATAACCGCGCAAAGGGCGGACAAGTAAACTAGTATTAAACAAAAGAAAGGAAAATAGACGCACTTCTTGCTAATGAAATAAACATAGAAAGCAGAGGGGGAATACACATGGCTGCTTCTATTCCACTTGCAACTGTATTTCAGGGTCCCCTGTTTGATCATGAATTCAAGAAATTGCAGCTACAGTGAGATACACTTGAAGCATGGTTGGCCTTTGATTAGGAATGAACTTCATACAGTTACTTGCAAGTTCAAGTAGTTGCAATATCATTGCATCAAAACCTTGACCTAACAGCACTTTATCCACATCAAGAGTACTGGCAAACGAGCTACTACTAAGATTTAAACTTGAGCAGCTCAATTGATAAGATTCCTTCCTTGTTAAAAGCTCAAGAAGCACAACCCCAAATCTATAGACATCTTTCTTGTAAGATGTAAAGTCTAAAGAATCAACTAGTGGCAATAGACACATGCTTGAATCCATGTCATTTTGTCTTTCAAGTGTTGCCTCCCAAAAATTGGATATCTTGGGATCAAAATTTTCGTCTAGCAAAATACTTTGTGTACTTATGTTACTATGCACAACATGGAAATTTCCACCATCATGAAGCCAAGCAAGGGCTTTCGCGACACCAACAACAATTTTAACCCTTAAAGGAAAGTCCAAGAGCTTTGCCTTGTCATCAGTCGTATGTAGCCACTCATGTAAGTTTCCATTTGGCATGTATTTGTAAACCAGAAGTCGCCCATCCCTCTCTACACAAAAACCAATTAAAGGGACTAAATTTTGATGCCTCAGACTGCGAAGAATTGTAATCTCAGAAACAAACTCTTCCTCCAAATTTTCTGAGGCATTGAGCCTCTTTATGGCAACATTCCAGCCATTTGGGACCAGTGCCTTGTACACTTTCCCCAGCATTCCCTTCCCAATTTCATGGTCTTGGCTGAAATGTGAAGTCGCTTTTGCTAGTTCCATAAAACTCATTCTTGTGACAATCTTCTCCAGCTTTGAAATCTGAGGAAAAGAACATTTCTACCGTTAGCACAATTCAATTAATGCCACACGCTTACTTTTCTTCTTGGAGTGTGATTAACGGTGTGTTTGGTACGAAATTTCCAATTTTTGCATGTTTGGTTGGCCTAAATATTTTGGAAAATATTTTTCTCTTGAACTCATTTTTCTCTCATGTGATGAAAATGTTTTCCGTGTTAAGAGAAGGGAAAACATTTTCCAAAACTCATTCTCAACCTTCCCCACCAACCTACCCCACTCTAAATAAAAATATTATTAATATTACATTCTTTTCATATTATAGATAGATTTTTTTTTCATTTCAACAAAAGAGTATTTTTTTCGTGATATAAAAAAGTATTTTTTTTCCATTTGAACCAAAAAAAAAAACTTTCTTTTCATGTAGAAAAATATTTTTTTTTTCATTTCAACAAAAAAAATATATTCTTTTCATTATGTAAACAAAAGAATTTATGGTATAGCCACAAACTTATCGAGGTAACTAGGCTTAACTCTTTGTTTGGAAACTAGGAAAGAGAAACGAATGAATGTTTTAACCCAAAATGATACTCCCTCCATTTCATATTGTTTGAGGTACTTTCCTTTTTAGTCTGTTCCAAAATAAATAAATGACATATTTCTAAATTTGGAAATAATTCAACTTTAAACTCTTTATTTTACCCTTTTTGCCCTTAGTGAGAAGCTTTTATAGCCACACAAATGGTATGGCCCCACAAACCTTTTACCCCTTAATCTTTTAAGACCACAAGTTTTAAAAGTCTTATTCTTTTTTCTTAAACTCCGTGCCGAGTCAAACTACCTCAAACAATATGAAACGGATGGAGTAACATTTAAATAGAGCTATGAACTTAAAAATGAAAAAGAAAAAACAAGGGGCAAAACAAACCTGACGTGTTCAATTTCATATATCTACTGTTAGGGGCGGATCCGGCTTTAAGCTTATGGAATCCCAATTTAGTACTAGCTTTTACCAAAATTTTATATTTGTATTAAAAAATTCATTAAATTTTTATAAATATTTGACTATTAATTGAGTTATTATTGTATAGATAACTCGAAATTGTTATAGGAACCCATAAACTTTAAAAATTTAATGTATTCATGATTTTGTTTGACCAAACTTTTTTGTTCAAAATTCTACGTATAGCACTGTAAAGTAGCCCAATTTCACTATTAGGTTAAGAACATCCCTACTATTTAATTTCTTCACTCAACAGCAGTTGTTGTACTTATTTCTTTTTTAAGCGAAGGATATAGTAAAATATTCTTATAAGAATTAAAAATTCAATTTAGCCTACGAAACCTGGTTAAATGATTAAGGCTATATCTAATATTATATTGTCAAATAGTGAAATTAAGTTATATTTAACATCATGGCAACTACTCCCTCCGTTCTAATTTAATTGAATTTGTTTGACTGGGTATGAAGTTTAAAAAAAATAAAGATTTTTGAAATTTGCGGTACCAAATATGTCAGAAAGGGGCATAGAATATTTGTGTGATTATAAAAGCTTTTCATTAAGGCTAGACTTGGAAGTTTAAGCTAAATTGTTTTCAAATTTAGAAAAAGATCTTTTTTTTTTGCAACGGACCAAAAATAAATAAATATGTTTACATAAATTGACACGGAGGGAGTGCCTTTTACGTCTAATAACTATGAATCTTTAGTCACTGTGTTTGAATGCACTGAACATATACAAAAATTTAGGATTACTGATACCACATATATAATTAAATTTGCGTAAAAAAAATAAAGCAAGCACAATAGTTCCATGAAAGCATTTTATAGAAAAACATTTTCCAGAAAAAATATTCTCTTTCGTACCAAGCACACCCTAAGTTAGTACATGATTTAGAAAGCCTGCAAAATGTTTACCTTCGGGTCATTGTTTACTTCTATTCCGTCTGAACATTCACTTCCATCAATCATCGTTCTCTTTGTTCTATTCTTGATCGATACAAATATCTTCTTTACTTGAGCAAAACCAAAGAAAAAAAGATATATACCAAGTAAATAGAAAAGCGACAAACCAGTCACAAAACCACTAACAAACATAGTATGATGGTTCGCTTTGGACCGTCACACCGTTCTAGAGGATCTCCGCAAAGTCCTGAATTATTTGCGTAACTTTCAGCCGGAATAGTGGTATGGATAAAATTTGGCACTTTCAGAGGGATTGGTTCCATATAGCTCGTTGCCGAGAGATCTAGAGAAATTAAAGAAGTGCAATTTTGAATGCCTCGAGTAAACTCACCTTTTAGTCCCATGTCTGGAAGTGTAATACTTAAAACCTTATTCTCATCAGGATGCCAGCACTGTATTCCTGTAAATTTGCATATGAAACCTTCTGTGTGATTATCGAACTGCCACGTAGAGCCCAAGTAATTTAAAGGGTCTTCCTACGAATTTTTAATCGATTTTAAACAATCGATGTCACTCTGTACTGCATTGCATCCTAGAGAAAAACTGATAAGTACCAAAAATAACAAGTAAAGAAAGTTGCAGCTGACAATAGTGAAACTGAAAATATTTCTATTAGAATCCATTGCCTTCATTAGCAGGATCATGGCACAATAATTTATGGGACTTAAAAATTGACTTATGTTAAGCTAGCAGTTGACGCGGGTCAAGCACGGCTGGAAAAATTTCCAACACGTGTGTTCTTTCTTCTCCTTCTTTTCTTTTTCTTTTTTCTTTTTTCTTTTTTCTTTTTAGTGCAATATTTATATTTAGTAGTCTCCTCCTTTGATTTTATATGATGGTATTTGAATTGGTAAGAAATTTACAGGGAGAAAAAGACTTCTCACACGTACCAAAAAAAACTTTAGAAGTTGTAACATGATATTTTTATCCTATAAGAGCCTATTTTTAAGGATAAAATGGAAAGTAAATTCTTTCAAAGAATTTTTACAAATATAAGGTATCATTCTTATTTAAAGAGACAAAAAAGAAAGAAAGAAAGAAAGAATATCATATAAATAAAATGGAAGATCGGAACAACGTTATTTGTGACATAATCCATTTTCGGTTGATCAACGTGGTCCTGAAATTTTCGTAATGCTAACAAAACTAGATGGACACAAATTGTTTTTGGTGAAACTCTAGCAAATTATATTAGGAAAATTGATATTGGGTGACAACACGTAATACGAATTGGTAAATATTTTGTGTTAGATTGGCAAAAGAAGCACAAAAAATTTGACTTTCTATAGCCATCTCCCACAAAACTAGTAACTATCTTCTAAATAGACTCATTGCTATATTCAGGTATTTTTCTTTTTCTTTAAAAGTATTTTATATTCTTCAATTTCTCCTTTAATTGAAATATCACCCTGAAATTCTTACCATTATTGAGGATCTATGTGATATGTAGCTTTGATGAGTTTTTTTTCTTCCTTACAGAATTGATGTAGTACTTTTTTAAAACAAAAATTTTGGATTAGTTGCTGGATGGTAAAGTTTGTTTCTTTATTTAGTTTTCTTTTTGACTTAAGAGGGATACACATGAATCAAATTCAATTTGAATGGTGTAATTTCATCGAATTATCCACAAATTGATGATATAGATGCTATACAAAATGCTGAAACAACCAAACTGATTAGGTGGAATGCAGAATATTATGAAGCTGTTAATTTTGATTTACAGTATGATATTCAGTAAGGATTGATGCACAAGTCATCCCCAAGAGAGGAAGCTTCAAGTATTTTAGGTCGATAATTGTAGTGACCCGGCCGGTCGTTTTGTATATTGTAACCCTATTCCCCTATTTATTGCTTCTTCTATGTTTATTTGTGGCTATGTGACTTGCCGGAGTGGTTGGTTTGGTTCCGGTGATATTTCAGAGTGAATTGGCACACTTTGTCTCAAGGTTAGAAATTTAAATTGGAAGAATTGGCCGGGTTTGACTTTTGTGTAAACGACTCCAGAATGCAATTTTAATGATTTCAATAGCTTCGTATGGTATTTTTGGACTTAGGCGTATGAGCGAATATTAATTTGGAGGTCTGTAGGTTGGTTTGAGGCTTTTGGCGAAAGTTGGAAAGTTGATGGTTTGGAAAGTTGAGAGTTTTGACTAGGAGTTGACTTTATTGATTTCGGCTTTGGATTTCAGTTTCAAGAGTTGAAATAAGTCAGTTGTGTCATTTATGACTCGTATGCAAAATCTAAGCTCATTTGGAATTGTTTTGCTATGATTCGGCATTAATTTTAGAAGTTGGAAGTTCATTAGGCTTGAATCAATGTGCGAATCGAGGTTTTGGTGCTGTTTGACGTGATTTGAGGCTTCGAGCGAATTCGTATTGTGTTTTGGGATTGGTTAGTGTGTTTGGGCAGGGTCTCGAGGGCCTCGGGTGTAATTCGGATAGGCTACGAACCATTCCACCTTGTGTTTTAGACTGCTGATGCCTAAAATCTAGTTTCCTTCTCCGCGTTAGGGACATGACGGTCCGTTCGTAAAGGATACTGATGTAGAAGTGTAGTATGAGTACACCACGATCGGTTTCCAGTAAATATCAAGATAACCTCAGTAGAGTAGCGACGAGGTACAAATCAAGACACCTACTGGTCAAATNAGTCACTAGTACCAGCCACAAATCATATGCTCACGGTACCTTGTGCCCACATCTCTAATCACCACCGCATGGCCACCTCACATGCCAATATGTCAATCCACCCGGTATGTTCACAACCTTACAATTACAATCTGCTCGACGTAGTCACATGCTCACTGTCACGATCCGCCCGACATGATCACATGCTCAATATCACAATCCA